TGTGTGTGTGTGTGTGTGTCCTCAGGCTCAGACTTGTCAGAGGCCCAGTGAGGAGGAAGTAATAGCTAACAGGTTGATCAGAGCAAGCTGAGGAAAAAGAGATGGAAAAGAAACTTGATATTCTATATTGTCAACATCACTTCCCTCACAGACGCTCTCATAGTTTTATGATAATAGAAATCATAATATTTTTAAATGACACCTATAATTAATCCTTTTGTTCTACCTCACACATAGGTCTACAGACGTCTTTTGATGATGATTGGCAGGCAGGCAGGATTACTGCTGACAGCTATCGCAATGGCACGGAGGACGGAGCTCTGGCGTACAAACTCCTCATCCAGACTGGCTCCAAGAAGGAGCCTTTTAACTACAGCCAGGTATGTCCTAGAGCTTCAAAGACAAAAAAAACCTTAAAACTAGATTCACATGTCCTTTCCAGGACACAAAGTGTGTGGCATTGTACATAATTATATTATCAGCTGTTTTTAACCATTCAGTTTGACAAATACTCGATCATTTCTCTCTAGCTGGTTTCTCGTCGGCTGGTAGACGCTGAGGGTCTGATCCCCCCAGAGGTGTTTTACATTTACCTGACCGTTTGGGTCAGTAACGATCCTCTCGGCTACGCTGCCTCCCAGGCCAACTTCTACCCCCATCCCAGAGAGTGGATTCACGACAAGTATGACACTACAGGGGAGAATCTGCGCAGTAAGTGTCTTATCTTTATAAAAGATGCCTGAATCACTTGTAGTATGAACATGATCTCAAATGTCCTTCTCTCCTTCAGTTCCAGCTGCAGAGCCCCTTGAGTTTGCCCAGTTCCCCTTCTACCTTAACGGCCTTCGACAGGCCAGTGACTTTGTGGAGGCCATAGAGAGCGTGCGGGCCATCTGTGACGAGTTCAGCCGCAAGGGAGTGTTCAACTACCCTAACGGATACCCCTTCTTGTTCTGGGAGCAGTACATTGGCCTCAGACACTGGTTCCTGCTGGCGATCAGTGTGGTTCTAGCCTGCACCTTCCTGGTCTGTGCGATCCTCCTGCTCAACCCCTGGACTGCCGGCATCATTGTAAGCCAACAATCTATTCATCACGTCCTACTCTTCCTCATCCTTCCCACTATTTTCCATTCTGGCCTATTTCTGTCTCACCTTGTCCCTCTCATCCTACGTCAACAACATCATTACCCCCTTCCTCCCGCTCCTCTTCCTCTCACTTTCTTCTCACCCTTCTCAGCACAGCTCAATAATGCTGTCTAGGGGGCCCCTTTTTCTCTGTGGAGGGCCACTACGCACGCACACACACACAGGGACCTTTGTCATTCTAATGTAAGTTGGGCCGGCCTTAGAAAAGGAAATGCAAAGGAGCAAGAAAGGCTTTGCCCTCCTGAAGCCTCCACTTCCAACTCCCTCACAGCTTTTGTCAGAGGGAGAGGGAGAGGCTTGGGG